AAAATCTGCCTTTTCAAGTGGGTTCCAGATTTGGAAAGATGAAGGGGTGCATGCTGCTGGGGAGAATGAACAGTTTGCATGTGAATCCAAGACAACTGTACAGGATAGGAGACACAAAAAGGCGTTTGGCATTTTTTGGAGAACCCATTTTATTTTGCTTGTTGTTTAAAATGTTTATTATAACTTCAGTGACTGGAGAAGGGGCTCACAATCCACATCTCACCAGTCACTCCACTCCTGGGATGATGGTTTCAGGTTAGGGCACCACAGGTGGTGTTTTTTTACTTAATTTTTTATTTTATTTTTTATTTTTTAAAAAATATATCTTTATTGATTTCAGAGAGAGGAAAGGAGAGGAAGAGAGGGAGATAGAAACATCAATGATGAGAGAGTCATTGATTGGCTGCAGCCCACAACCCGGGCATGTGCCCTGACCGGGAATCGAACCCCGATCGCCTGGATCCTAGGTCGATGCTCAATCGCTGAGCCACGCCCGGCCGGGCTACTTAATTTCTTAAAAGTCATATTTATTGAGGTATAAATTACGTACAGTAACATTTCCCTTTAAGCATATAGTTCAATGAGTTGTAACAAACACATGCGATCATTTAACTACTGTCACAATTAAGATACAGAACAGCTCCTTCACCCGGAAAAGTTTCCTTCTGTGGCTTTGTAGTTTGCCTTTCCTCCTTCCACCCCCCAGTACCTGGCAACCACTGACCTCTTTTCTGTCTCTATAGTTTTACCTTTTCCTGAATATCATCAATGGAATCATACAGTGTGTAGCCTTCTGAGTCTGGCTTCTCCCACTTGGCGCATACTGCATTCGCGATCTCCCATGCTGTTGTGTGTATTGGTAGTTTGATCCGTACTCCAGTCCTTTTTATTGCTGCGTAGTATTCCACTGTAGACCCGTAATGCTGCTCTTTATCCATTCACCAGCTACTACAAACAGTTGTGTGCTGATGTTGTGTGAACATAAATTTTCATATCTCCTGTGTAAATACTTAGAGGAGGATTACTGAGTAGTGTGGTAAATGCATGTTTAACTTGATGAAAGACTGCTAAAGTGTTTTCTAAGGTGGCTGTATCATTGTGTATGCCTACCAGCAGGGTTGGAGAAATCCAGTTTCTCTGCATCCTTGCCAGCATTCGGTGTTGCTACTTTTAAGTTTTAGCTGTTTGGTAGTGATAAAGGGACTCAATAGCTGTCTGCAATACTTGCAGGTCTATTGTGTAGAAAAGGAATTACAGTTGTACCTTGTGGCCCTTGGGGGTAGAGCTAGGGTCAGTGGGGGGAAATAGAATCATTTTATGGGGTAAGATTAGATGGGCTTTGCTGTGAAGTAGTGAGCTCCCTCACTGGGGAAGAGTTCGAACATGGTGGCCATGTGGGGGATTTTGGCAACTATTTGGATGGGAGGACAGCATCATCTTCAAAACGCCTTTCAACCCTGAGATGCAAGTAAAAAGGGAAGAACTTAAAGTTGACTGGGATAGAGTGGATTTTCTGCAACACTTGCTGCTATTTTGGAGCTTTCTGGCTTAGCACATCGGGGGACTCTTCTCGAGGTCCCCAGTGGCCTCCTTTGTCCTGTGCCTTCCTTACTGCGAAAGGACAGGGGTGCCCAGGCGGCATTTCCCCTGGGCCTGAAGTTTGATGGCTTCTCAGGCCTGGGCCACACTGTTTGTGTTTCATGTGCGCCCCAGGCTTTGGAGCAGGAGAAGGGGTGCAGGAGGTGCTCCTGACAGGAGGCTGTGTGGTGTTGGGGTTGAGGCCCTGGCTCTGGAGTTAGAGCTGAGTTTTGTGTGGGGTCCGCGGTTTTCCTAGCTGTGCAGTCTTTCTGGATTGCATTTTCTCATGGGTGATCATAGCACATACCTGGGCGGGTGCCGTGGGGACTAGGGATCAGGATGGAGTGTTCGGCACAGACCCCAGCACTAGGCTGTGGTGGGCAAACATCACGCTCACTTCATTGTTTGCATGAGCAGCTGCCCCAGACCCTCACAAGTGGCCTCACCCTGCTGGAGACTAGGACAGGAGGCCATGGCTGTGCATGGTGACAGAGCTAATGGTCCCCTGCTCTCTCTTGCTGCTTCTCTTCAGCTTCTGCAAAAGCCAAGGGCCCCACCTTCTATTGCTTCATGTGTAAAATGGGGAGAAAATCCTTAATCTCCCTGGAGGCAGGTCGCTGCACCTGGTGGTGCTTTCAGTCCTGGAACCCAAGGTTTGCTGTTTCTTTGATACTTTGTGGACCTGAGCATAGCACAGAGCGGCCGTGCCCAGAGCATGGCCTGGTGTCCCGGAGGCCTCTTCAGGGGCTAGTGAGGTCAGAACTGTTTTCACAATGACACTTAGATGTCCCTCGCCTTTCCCAGACCCTCATCCTCTGCACACTGCACTGTGGGTGGGGTTTTCTGGAGGCTCCATCATGTGTGCAAAGCTGAGAGCAGCCACGGATGCGAGGCTCCAACTGTCTCTACTAAGACACCGACCGAACGGCATTATAAAGATGCAAGGCAGTGCTCCCCCACCACTACTTTTTTTGTTTTGTCATGGAAAGGGTGGTTAGTTTTTCATTTAAAAAAATCTTATGTAATATGTAATAGGTGTTTGGTTATTTTAAAATTAGATTTTAAAAATTCTTAGTTTTAATTTCTAATCTGGTAGATAGTGTTAGATGGATATAATAACCCATATAAAGAAAAGCTCTTTGGAGTCCTTAGTCATTTTTAAGAATGTAAAGAGGTCCTCACATCAAAAAGTTTGCAAACTTTCAGGCTAAGACCTTGGGCTCTGGGCTCAGGTAGTTAGAGGAAGGTTCATTTCTGTCATCTGGCTCAGCAACTGGGGCATATTACTTAACCTGATAAGGTTTTGTGTCATGATCTCTAAAATGGGAATAATAGCAGTATTTTCCTTAAGGGGATTGGATGGGATAATGTATGGAAAGCATTTCAAAAACTGCCAGGCACGAAGTGCTACTCATGGTTGTCATTTGGGAGGTAGTGGGTGTAGTGGCAAAGAGCATGTGCTCCGAGTCCAGGTGCCTGGGCTCATCCCAGGATGCCACTCACTATTTGTGCAACTTTGAATGGATGACCTTGCTGGGCCTCAGTTTTTTCACCTGTAAGTGGGGGAGATAATATTAGTACCCACCTGGGGTTGTTGGGAAGGTGGAGTTAATGCCGGGGACATTTGGGTTGTCTGCTGTTGTGTGGGTTGGTCATGAACGTTGAAATCCCCCCTTTCTGGTGCTCTCTGCTCCTCTTCACCCCACTCACTTAGGTTTGTCAGTCTTCCACAGATAGCTTCCTCCTGGAGTTTAGGGGGTGAGTTGTAGGCATCTCCAGGAGCCTCACTCGTGAGAGCTGCGCAAGTTACTGCAAATCAGGTGACAGTGAAGACCTGGCCCTGGGCTAAACCTCATAAAAGTGACTTCATTTGCCAGAAGAGAAAGAAGTTATACAGCCCACACAGAGCTGTGACTGGCCTTTCTCTAAACTCACGTGGTGGGGCAGGGGTGAAGGTGCAGGATGTTTTGGGGAAAGGTGAGGGAAGGCTTCTCAGGCTGTGGAGTAGAACCATGTGGGGAGGGAGATGCTTGTGGGAAGGGCTGGGCCAGGCCCCGCCTTAGAGAACGTTCTGGCCCCAGAGGTCTGGCCTGGAGTACAGGAATCCCGGTGGGTTTGGTGTGGTGGTTTTAAAAGAACATGCATTTCCAGGGGTACTAGATTTAGGTTGTTGGGGAACCAGCTTTGGGTAACGGGAGCTGAGAGTGTGAGGCTCCTACCACAGACCATGGTAGAGCTGGTCACTCACAGTGTGGTCCTTCCCATCCTCCCTGGCACTCCTGGAAGACACAAGGCCACACTGGAGTCCTGTCTTTTGTCTTGGCGGGGACGCTTGGTTTGCACGAACAGTTAGCCAACAAGGATCAGTGCAGGGGTCAGGGGTCAGGATGGCAGAGTCAGAGACCTGCATTTGCCCTTTGCACATTCTAGAGCACGAGTGCTGTGCCCCTGGGTGAGTCAGCCTCCTGGGTGACAGCTATAAAATGGGGTGGCTGCTCCCAGTTCCTGACCCCACCTTGGCTCTCCGAGGGTTAGGGGGGATCTCAAGTGAGCATATGGACAGAGTTAAATATAAAAGCAGCATGGCTTCATCTCTTTCCCAGATGTTTGAGTGAGGGGCTCTCTTTTTAGAAACGGATTTGGGTCTTGTCAGAGGTGCTGGTGGGGGCCACTGTTCTGTAGTAATAGCAGAAGGTACAGGGTTCCCTTCAGGACACGTCTAGTCCTGGGCACAGGCGCTGAGGGCCCAATGTGGGCTGGGCCACCAGAGCCCCTGGGACTTACCTGCGTCAGGTCTCACTTACCTTAGCCGTGGGCAGCTCTCCCTGACAGCCGCCTCCAAGCCGCACACCTGGGCTGTTGGGGCAGGTCCTTCAGGCAGCTGGGTGGCTTGGAAAAGGGAGCTGTATGGAGGGTCCAGCCCTGGTCAGGGGAGGATGGGGACACAGTCCTTGGGCCCCAGCTTTGGAGCCAGCCACCTTGGTCCTCGGGAGCTCCACTGGGTTCCAGCCGGACCTTCCTCCTCAGGCCATATCTTCTGCTCTGCTCAGGGCTCAGATCGGCCTCTCCAGGCTCGGGGTGCGTGACAGTCGGTGTTGCCGACTGGGCGAGGTCTCTAGGGTTAGGGCCAAAAGGGCTTCTTCCTGGAGGTGCCGCAGCTGGGCTGGGAAGAGAGGAGGTTCTCGGCCAGGCCCGGGAGAGAGGGAGGGCCAGTGCTTCGGTGCTGGAGCCAGACTGCCTGAGCCGAGGCCTTTGTTTCACCTGCTCTCTGACTCGGTGGGGTCGCCTGTGAAAGGGGATGCCGGCAGGATACACCTGGGACGGCCGTTGGGCGTAACTAATGCAAGCCAGGTCGGAACGGTGCCTGGCAGCTGGTGACGCTCTCTACAGGCCAGTTCACCGTGTTGTGTTCCTCCCGCCAGGAACCACGGGGAAGGCGCCGTCCCCGCCGCCCCTGCTCACTGACCGCCAGGTGAATGAGAAGGTGGAGAACCTCTCCGTCCAGCTGCGGCTCATGACGCGAGAGAGGAACGAGCTGCGGAAGCGCCTGGCCTTCGCCACTCACGGGACCACCTTTGACAAGAGGTAGTGATTGGCCAGCTCCCCTGCCCAGCACTCACCAACCTGCCGGTGGCAGACAGGGCTTATAGTCCTGATGCCATCGCCATCCCCTCCCCACCTGGGGGTCCTTAGCTCCTGGGGGAGGGGCACAGGCTGGTTCTGCTTCCTCCAAATGAAAATTGGAGCCCGTGGCCTGAATCACACAACTCGAGGATTGAAAGGTGTGGGTGTATCTGTCGTACATTTAGCCTGACAGTGGTGTGCGTGTGTGTGTGTGTGGCAGAAGAGCCTGGCGTTTGCCTCCTAGCCTTTCAGTTGGCCTTGCAGATGATAGTTCAGTGGCAGCAGCTATAGGGCCTGCTNGTCTGTCGTACAGTTAGCCTGACAGTGGTGTGCTTTTGTGTGTGTGTGTGTGTGTGTGTGTGTGTGTGTGTGTGTGTGTGTGTGTGGCAGAAGAGCCTGGCGTTTGCCTCCTAGCCTTGCAGTTGGCCTTGCAGATGATAGTTCAGTGGCAGCAGCTATAGGGCCTGCTCCTACCTTGGTACCTCCTCACTGGTTGGTTGGATGCCTTGAGCTCATCACAACCACCCTCTAAGCCTCTGCCTTCCAGCCCCAAGAGAGTATATTTCCCTCTTTATCCCCGCTGCTGCTGGGTGCAGCCCCTGCCCTAGTAGAGATCGCCATCTCATTGCTGAGCCCTTGCCTTCGCCTGTCCACCTGTGTGTGTGTGTGTGTGTGTGTGTGTGTGTCTGTCTGTCTCTGCATGTGTGCATGTGTCACTGTCTCCCAGAAGACCCCAGCCTGCCACCTGTTGGGTGGATATTTATGTGGTTTGTAAACATATTAACTGTACCCTGCCATATATGTGTTTTAGGAAGGGTATATTCTACCTGGCTTCTTTGTTTTGAAGGAAATCTGTGCTTCTTTAGTCAGGGAAGGGCAGGCCGAAGGGTGGGGCAGGGGGAGAGGCTTGACCCACCTGCATGACCCAGGGGGCTTCATGGAGGAGGAGGAGGGATGCAGAGGGTTTATCTTTCCAGGAGGCGCTGGAGGGGTCCTGAGTGGTTTACCTCTTCCCTTTAGGAGCATCAGGGGTGCGCCTCGTTTTGAGGATGTTTCCTCTGGGGGAAGTGTCAGCGCTGCAAGCCTGCTCCTGAGGCTGCTCTGATGAGGATATGCCCCAGTCAGGTAGCACAAAAGGCNTTGCTCTCATGAGGATATGCCCCAGTCAGGTGGCACAAAAGGCAGTGCCAGTGAAGACATGGAGCACTAGAGTGCGTGTTGTCCATGGTCGCTTTCAAGCTACCAAAGCAGAGTGTGTGGTTGTATAGCAACCATGTGGCCGGCAAAGCCTACAGTGTTTACTGTGTGGCCCTTTACAGAAGAGGGTTGCCGATGCCTGCTCTAGGGCAGGGGTTCTCAAACTTGGGCATGCACTGCAGTCACCCAGAGGACTTGTTGAAGCACAGATTGCTAGTTAGCCTGCCCTCCCTCCCTCCATAGTGCCTGATTCAGGAGGTCTGGGCTGGCCTGACAATTTGCATTTCTAACAAGTTCCCAGATGATACCAATGCTGCAGGTCCCAGAACCCCACTTTGAGAACCACTGCACCCCACCACTGTTCTCAACTTTGGCTGCACACTGAAATCCCCTGGGGAGTTAAAAAAAAAAAATCCTGATGTCTGAGTCCCACCCCAGAGGTGCTGATGTAATTGGCCTGGGGGTTTTAATGTATACCCAGGATTGAGAATCACTGGTCCAAAGAGAGAAGAAACTTAACACAGGTTTCTGGTGGACCCACTGTGTGTGCAGGTTTGTCACGAGGTCTCCTGGAAGCTCCTAGGTGGTACATTCTCAGCTCTCCAGGCCTATGCTGGGAGCTCAGGCAACTGAGGGTCCTTCCGTCCTGGGGATTCTGATTCCGTTGGCCTGTGTGCAGTCAGGGCATCTGAGCTTAACAAACATCCAGGTGGTTGTGGCATGTAGGGAGCCGCTAGGTTGGAGTGACCTACGGCATGGCTTCTGAGGGGAAGAGACATTCCTTGCAGTGTGTTCATGGTGTGTTTGCTGTCTGCCCAGGCCCTACCACAGGCTGAACCCCGACTATGAGAGGCTGAAGATCCAGTGCGTGCGGGCCATGTCGGACCTGCAGAGCCTGCAGAACCAGCACACCAATGCCTTGAAGAGGTGTGAGGAGGTGGCCAAGGAGACCGACTTCTACCAGTGAGTGGCAAGGGCCCCAGCATCCATCGGATGGCTGCCTCTTACCCTTCCTTATTTCTGGACTTGGAGCTAGGCCTCGGGGTTCTAGTCCCGCCTCTGCCATGTAGCAAGCAGTGTGCCTTCAGCAGGTGGGCTCGTGGCCTCAGTTTTCCTAAGTGTGAGGTGAGGCTTTTACCCCTTCACAGTATCTTGAAGCCTCAGAAGCAGGGTAGGTCAGACAGTGACTGAGAACATGAGCTAGGGGTCCAGGCAGAGCCCTGGGATTCTTGGTCGCTGTCCAGGGCCTTTGCTGCAGTTCTTGCCACAGGAGAGGCAGATGTAGCATGGTCCCTTTTGTCTCCTGATGTCCCTCTGAGGGTGTTTGCCTGTCCACCTGCTGATGTTCGTTCAGGTTTTAGTACCTCAGTACTTGGAGGTACCAGGTAGGACCCCCCCTGTATATGCACTGTTTTTGGTGTCAGGTTTTTAACAAGTGGCTTGGGTCCTTCTGGCACCCGGCCGACAGCAGGCTTTGGCCTGCCCTTGAGTGCTGGGGACCTAGCTTCTGTGGCTCCTCGGCTGGTATATCAGGAGTATTGGACCCTGGAGGGGCTGGCGATGTGGGGGTGGGGGAGCTGTCTGGGGCTCACTTGGGAGGTGTTTCAGTACACTCCACAGCCGGCTCCTGAGCGACCAGACCCAGCTGAAGGACGACGTGGACATGCTGAGGCGGGAGAATGGGCAGCTGCTGCGGGAGCGGAACCTGCTGCAGCAGTCATGGGAGGACATGAAGCGGCTCCACGAGGAGGACCAGAAGGAGATTGGTGACCTCCGGGCTCAGCAGCAGCAGGTAGAGCCGGGCCGGGTGCCTGGGTGCAGGCCAAGGTCAGTCACC